TTTATAATAAGATGTCTAGTTATAATATGTTTTATCTTTTTATTCTTATTTCTTGTTTAAAATATAATTTTTTTTCTTTATTGATTAGAATATAATATCTCATTTCTTTTATATTTGGATTTGATATTAGTTTCTTTATTTTAGTTTATTAGGGAATAATTTTGAATTGTACACTTTTTGGACGATGTGAAGACGATGACCTCTGAAAAGGGTGCCCGGCGACGTTGACGACGAGCTTGTAGGAGGCAATGGTCGACAGCAAGAGGTGGCAGGCGATTTGAGAATCCAGGGAATCGAAAGGTTTAATTTAGGGAGAGAGTTTAATTTTGACCAAGGTTATAATTTTGACCAAGAGTTAAATTTCGCACTCCTTCGTCCACGACAAGGCACGGTCAACAGATCACCCATGCCATGCCAATTTTCTCGGTCAGGGTCCTTACAATAACACAATAACATCTCAGAATATCAAAAGGACTTGAGTGGTAAAGTCCATATTGATTAAAATAGTTGCATAATTTCGTCCATGTAGAGATGAAGATAAGAACTAGTAAATTATACCCATTTCTGCTGTTTTAAATCCCGAGGGGATGCTCAATTGGTCAGGCCTTGGATTTGCTCCACAATGATACTTGTGAGTACCGGTTGTAAACTTCAGGGCCGTGCTCGAGGTGTGCGCAAGCTGGCCGGACATCCACGGTTATAAAAAAAAAAAAAATTTCTTGTGTTGGAATTTATGTTTAGGCTTCCAGAACAAATAATCAAGCAATGCTCTTTTATTGTTTGTTGACCCTATTTCTATTAAAAGTCCTCTCACGAGAGTCCTATTTTGCTTCAACAGATATTCTCATTGTGGGCAGAGAGTCCCAGAAGGCTTGGAGGGTTGAGTTATTCAACTCAGGATGTTGGTTTAGTTCTTGCAATCTCAGGTTCAATGTTTATTAGATGTGACACAGCTTGCAAGACATTTTTAGCATTAAATTTGCTGTTGTTTGGTCCCTCGTTCTTTTCGATCAGTAAAGATGCTTTAAAGGGTCTAGGAAGCAAGATACAGGCTAAGAGATTCACATAAAAGAAAATTGTGTTGCAAATATAGAACATTTGAATGGATTAGCACAATATATGGTGTCGTAGATTTCGTACGGAGATTTCATTCACATACAGTCTAAATTTTCCAAGTTGATAACAAACTCTAGAACTCCCATTTGTTTCTAATTGTTTACTTTGACAATGATACGACTTTTTATTATTACTCAACATAAGGTGGTATATGTTAACAGGCATTATGGATCATATATAGGAACCTGAAGAATAATTTAAGTCTTCATTCTCCTTTTAACAAATTGAATGTTAATTTTCAATGTTGTATTCTTTGTAAATCAGTGCACACTAACGAATGAATGTAAAATGTATTTTTTTCTCTCTCTCTTTGATCTGAGAATAAGATATATAGGTTGTTCTAGTGAATGAATGGATTTATGATCTTTCTAAGTGTTTTCCTCCTCCAATTTTTCATTTCATACATACATACATACATACATACATACATACATACATACATATGTTCGTTATTATAACCCACCCACTGAGAAGATCGACTCTGTAGACCTAAATTCCAGTTTTATACTAGAAAAATCTGGCTTTATGGATTGATGAAGTACACAAAATATTAATTATGATGTCTGTGATATATAGAAAGATTTTAGTGAAGGGAACTGCTGGAATCAATAAGATATGAAATGCAATGCTGAGGACATAATTGGCTATAATTCTCAATTAGAAGGAAAATGAATTGATAAAGAAATAATTCCTGCCATCTCCGATGTTTAAGCTTTCAAATGACATTATGGTTTTGGTTTGATATGAGAGAGACACAGAGGCGTTGTGATTCAACCTTAGTTTAACTCCAATCATGTCTTTTACAAGGACAATGTATGTTTTAGATTCAAATTATTGATGTGCCACTATCAACAGAAATGTTTTATCGTTTAGATAATTGCGAACTGATGCCTATACCACTCTTAAGTATCTATATTATTGTGTTATACAAGTATTAAAATCATGTGAAAGTTTTTGGTTTTCAATAGCATTGTTCAGTGATCTTTTCAGCTTCCTATGTCATTTTACTTAATTTTTGGTAAAGCTAAACTAAAATTTCAAAGTATCTAATCTTTTTGCTGTGAAGAAAATGTTTGAATTTCGTGTATCGCTAACCATTAAGAAAATACTCTGGTTTGCTTACAGTTTGTTAACTTTCAGGTTTTGGCCTTTTAGTCTTCCAAACTTTGTTATACCCAGTTGCAGAGAAAATTATTGGACCTATAATGGTTTCACGAATTTCAGGCTTAAGTCTAGAATCTTGGTAGAGATTAATTTAAATCTACGAAATCTGTATATTGACTACCAATGCTAACTTCTGATTGGAGTAATGTGGGGTAATTTTGTACTGCTTGCAGATTCTGTCAATACCATTATTAACAAGTTACCACTATATAGCCATGCTATCTGGCATCACCTTGTCGATAGTGTTAAATTGCGCATCTCTGGTGAAGAACATTCTAGCTGTAAGTGGTTTGATGATTTTATGGGTAATATATTTTGTTTCCATAGGTTGGTGGACAACATTCTCGAATTCATGGTTGATTTTGCATTTGTTGACGTCCAAAATGAGTTGCTGCTTAGAAAGTTTTAACGGAATAGGCTAAGAGAAAAAAGTATCTGGCTAGTTTGAGAGATATTTCAAGATGATCCCTAGGGGTCAAAAGGTTATTCCTGCCTTACTTAGATGGTTCACCCCAGTCTCCAGTACCACTTAGTTCTCAACCCACTAACCAGTGATGAAATGAGCATCACCCGACCTGCACAAGCACCATGAGATGGGCTCAATCTACTCCAAAAGGTTTAAGAAATTGTTGCTTACAAGTCTCTATGCAGCTGCTTATAAAAAGTTGTATTTTCCTCATTCAATGCTAGAAATCTCGAGTCTCATTAGAGTAACAGAAACCTCATCCATTTAACAACTAAAAAAAGAAATCTAGAAATCTCTAATCTCATTAGAGCATGTTTATGTTTAGCATCGCCACTTTCTGAATACTCGTTTCAGTAGTAGATAGCCGAGTACACAGCCCTTATTTCTGAGATACATAAAAAACTAAGAAGAGAAGCCGATGCGACCTTATGTTGCATGACAGTGTAGACAATGAACGGTGCATTTATTAGCATATTTGCATAATTAGCCTTCTCTGCCATACCTATCTAGTCACTTTATGTGGTAGCATAAATTTTCAGATGAACAAATCTTTTTTTATTTCGAATTTTAGATTTCTAACAACTTTTTATTTTCATCAGACCTCCATTGAAACAGGGTTGTTCATATTGCAAAATAGAGCTGTGGTAATTTTCTTGGTGGATTGATATTACAAACCTGAACATTTTAATGTTCCCATCTAGTTATACATGATTATATTATGCACCTAACTGGATTCTTCTGACACTACAAGTACAGGAACAACACCAAAGAGGAGCTGCCAATGGTTTAGCCACGATGTTGATGTCACTTGGCAAAGCTGCAGGTCCAGCATCGGGAGGAATACTGTGAGTTGATTCAGGCTTATACTTTTATCGAAACAATCATTATATCGAGTTCTCTGGTTGTGATTCACTATAATATATACATCAGTGCCTAAAGCCTTAATTTATAACACACATAATTCTTTAATACATAAATAAATGGACTAGAGTCTAGAGGATAGAACATTTGTGGCTCCTCTCAGGACAGTCTTAACTCTTAAGTCCTCCTTGGAAAATTATTCTGTGGACTGAATGCTCTGTAAAGAAATGACTTTCATGTGCTAAACTGTCCTTGTTTCATCAACTAATGCAGCTTTTCCTGGTCAGAGAAGCGTCAGGATGCTGACTTCCTTCCAGGTAGGTGATATTAAGTTTATTGCCAACAATCATATGAAACAATCATATGACTTGATGTGTATATCTAAGTATCTACTTTATTAGTCAGGGTAAAATGATATTTTTGAAATTATTAAAATTATCCTTTTCTACACTTTGAAATGTATGTTAACAGTCTGGACCCAATTTTATTAGCTGAAGATTGAAAACAAATAAGAGGATAAGAAGAAGCTCTAGATTTTGCCCTAGTTTAGAATGGTTTTGCAGGCGAAACCATGGTGTAGGAAATCGAGTATGGAAAGAGATCAAAATCTTTCCATACTTGGTGTAGACATATTAATTATAGGCTGTAAATATTCTTTCCAATTAGGAGATTTATTTTTTCTTTTTTTTGGTTCCATTATTGTTATATAAGAGGATGTAAGTTGATATGATTCATTAACGAAATAAACACATTATTTCTGTTCGTTCATGGTATCAGAGCCTGGTTGTCTAAACCTAGCAACCTATGCCTGAACTTCCTGTCAATAGTTCGGGGTCCGTCGTCTCCGACGCCCCTCAAATCGAAACTGAAGTGAACCCAACAATTGGTTCTCACGGTTTCGAGAATTCCTCTTTTCAACTCATCGTCGAGAAGTTAAATGGAAAAAATTACAGAGAATAGGGCCCAATCGATAAATTGGTGATTGATGGTAAGAGAAAAATGGGATATCTTACTGGTAACTTGAAGAAACCAACAGAAGCTACACTTCTTCAACGATGGAACTTTGAAAATTCGATGGTCATCGCCTGGCTGGTTAACTCCATGAAACCAGCAATAGGGAAGACTTTTCTGTTTCTTCCTACTGCAAAAGAAGTTTGGGAGGCGATAAGAGATACATACTCAGACACAGAGAACTCATCTCATACCTTCAAAATCAAGACTCGTTTGTGGCAAACGAAGCAGGGACCTAGAGAAGTTACCGACTATTTCATGGAAATGACTTCACTTTGGCAGGAACTCGACCTCAGTGGCGACGAAGAATGGAAGTGTGGAGATGACAGTGTGCGGTATAAGAAGAAACTCGAAAATGAAAGGGTGTATGAATTTTTGGCTGGCCTGAATTGCGATCTCGACGACGTCAGAGGCCGTGTTCTGGGCCGGCGATCGCTGCCTCCTCTTCGCGAGGTCTTCTCAGAGGTTCGAAGGGAGGAGGCTCGCCGTCTGATAATGCTGGACGAAGGAAAAGGGTCAACTGAAGTCTCGGCCCTTTTGATGAAAGGGAAATGGCCAGAAATTGGTAGTAGAATTGGGCCACGATTTAAAGGCCCAATTGAAGAAAAAAATCAGTTTAATGGTTTTTCAAATGGAAAGGGTTTTGGGCTGAAATTAATGGGCCAGAATACATGGGTATGACATCAAAAGGAGGAATAAATGGGTCAAATCAAAAACGTGGACGGCCGTGGTGTGAGCATTGTCGTAAGCCCGGGCACAAAGAAGATACATGTTGGGATCTACATGGAAAACCCGTCAATTGGAAGCCAAGACAAAACACTAGGAGCCGGGGATATCAAACTGAGGCAAAAATTAGCCCTGCTCAAAATGGTGCATTCAATTCTGAACAATTGGAACAACTTTACCAAATTTTCACCAATCTTCAAACCTCTAGTCAGTCTCTTCCTAATGGTCCTACAAGCTTCCTATCTCATAAAGGTAATTTTTTGAAAGCCTTATTTACCACTTCAACATCGAAAACCCCCTGAATTACAGACTCTGGAGCTTCCGATCATATGACAGACGAATATCATCTTTTCTCCTCTTACTCAACGTGTGCTGGTAATGTTAAAGTAAAAATTGCTGATGGCTTCCTTTCGTCTGTCACAGGAAAGGGGAGTATCAAAATTTCTGACTCTATAACCCTCGAATCTATTTTACATGTTCCTAATTTATCTTGCAATCTGTTATCAATTAGCAAACTCACCAGAGACTCAAATTGCTTTGCTAAATTTCTTCCGTCTCACTGTGTTTTTCAGGACCTATCATCGGGAAAGACGATTGGCAGTGCTAAAGAATGCGAGGGACTGTACTACTTTGAGGAAGCTGATATGAGTAAACTACATCAAATTGCTAATTGTGAGTCTGCATCTATCTCTAAGGATAGTGAAATTCTGTTATGGCATTATAGACTAGGCCACCCAAATTTTCAGTATTTAAAACGTGTAATACCTTCTATTTTTTCGAATAAAATTCCTCTTGATTTCCAGTGTGAAAATTTTGAACTTGCAAAATATCAACGTACTTCATATTCAAACTCTATATACAAACCATCTAAACCATTCACTATGATTCACAGTGACTTATGGGGACCCTCTCGAACCCCTAGTCGAACACACACAAGATGGTTTATCACTTTTATAGANACTTTTATAGATGATCATACTCGAGTCTGTTGGGTATATCTCCTAAAAGAAAAATCCGACGTCGCTCCGTGTTTATCAGTTTTCATAAAATGATTCAAACTCAATTTCAAACACAAATCCAAATACTTCGCACAGATAATGGCACAGAATATCTCAATGCTACACTACGAGACTATTTACGGAAACATGGGATAGTCCACCAAACTTCTTGTGTCAATACTCCTCAACAAAATGGGATTGTCGAGCGTAAAAATAGGCACCTTCTAGAAGTTGCTCGTGTCTTGATGTTCACTACAAACATGCCTAAACTGTTTTAGGGCGATGCGATCTTAACAGCTACATATCTCATCAATCGGATGCCCAGTCGCACTGTCTTTCAACTCACCCTTTGAAAAATTCCAAACACACTTCCCTCATACCCGTCTTCACTCTACTCTACCTTTGAAAGTGTTTGGTTGCGTGACCTTTGCTCATATTCACTCTCATCATCGAAGCAAATTAGACCCACGTGCACTTAAATGTGTGTTCATTGGATACTCCCCTACTCAGAAGGGTTATAAATGCTACGACCCATCAACAAAAAAAAGTGTTTGTTAGTCACGATGTCACCTTCTTTGAAAAAACACCCCACTTCAAAAAACCCATTCTTCAGGGGGAGATTCTGAGTGAAGAGCAATTATTTGAAGANTACTTTCTTTGAAAAAACACCATATTTCAACAAACCCTCTTTTCATGGGGAGATCAAAAGTGATGAGCGTTTTGATGAGTTTTTCAACTTTGATCTCTCCCCACCTGAACCAACCTACACTAAACATGTCACATCCAATATGCCACCTACAGAAGGAAACTTGAATGCAGGGGGAGATGCAAAGAATCAAAGAGGTAAGGAGGTGCTTGTTTACTCAAGGAGGCCGAATTCGAAGTATACGAGAAATCTCGTACCTGAGGCACCAAAAGAGTCGGAACAGGTGATAGGGCCGAATACAATCCTATCTGATCCCCCCAGTGATGATTTACCCATTGCTCTAAGGAAACAACCTCGGTCTTGTACTCTTCACCCTATCTCTAAATTTGTGTCTTATAACGCTCTATCTATAAAATTCCGTACTTTTATTGCTAATCTTGACAGTACGGAAATCCCAAAAAATATTAAGGAAGCCTTAGAAGTTCCCAAGTGGAGAGAAGCTGTTGTGGAAGAAATGCGAGGGCTGGAAAAAAATGAAACATGGGATTTGGTGGAGTTACCAAAAGGTAAAAGACCAGTTGGGTGTAAATGAGTTTTTAATGTGAAGTATAAAGCTGATGGGACAATAGAGCGATATAAAGCACGGCTGGTAGCTAAAGGATACACACAAACATATGGTATTGATTACTTGGAGACATTTGCACCGGTGGCAAAACTGAATACAGTTCGAGTACTCTTATCTCTAGCTGCCAATTTAGATTGGCCCCTCCAGCAACTTGATATTAAGAATGCTTTTTTAAATGGAGAATTGGAAGAGGAAGTTTTCATGACAGTGCCACCGGGGTTCAATAATAAGGGTGGAAAAGACTGGGTATGCAAGGTCAAGAAGTCATTATATGGTCTTAAGCAATCACCAAGAGCCGGTTTGACAGGTTTGCAAAGGTATTAAGGAATCAAGGATACCAATGTTGGGCGAAAATCCCGCAAGCGTACGGGTTCGTTGTACAAGTAATAATTGTGATGAGTGATTTATCGTCCCACGAGGAATAAATTTTAATTTTAGTGTATTCGATATATTTAAATTCGCAAGTGTAACAAAAGATAG